AGAAGTAACCTGTGTGGGAGCGCCGTCCTTTCTGCGCTATGTCTAATACTCCGTTTTCTCTGGTCTGATTAGCCCATTCCCTTTATAACTGAGGCCAACAAGCTTGTTAACTCCCATGACGAATTTTTCCATCCTGCTATAGCCAACACTACACAATTGTAATTTAAAAAATGCTATACCTCTGGGGGGTGGGGTGGGGTGGGAGCGGAAACCAACCCAAGACCTGCCACCTGCCGCTGAAGTGGCCGTGTAGGGCGCTAACTCAGTTGAACCAATTGTGCGGACGAATCATTGTTTTCCATGTGATCTCATTGTTTGTTTTTTAACCATAATCGTAAGTGTATTTTTACACTAAATAAAATTTAGCTTCTCAAAGCTATTCATCTAAGAAAATGATTTGAGTTAGAGAAGCTTATTTACTTAAAACAAATACCTCAGAATTTAGTATCCATCCAGATCAGGGTTTCCATTTAATAATACTGTCATGGCTCAAACGTTGTAAGAATTGCTCTTTTAGAATTTTTCACCACCAGTTAACGAGCCACATTGAGTACTGAAATCTTAACTCCACGCTAACAATTTTGTAAAACCATACCTTTTAAAAAGGAACCATATAGAGGACTGGCAGAGAAGGCAAGTGAAACTACTGAAATTAGAGTTATTAATTAAAATAATCATTACGTGGTATAACACTTTACAGTTTAAAAAAATGTCTTCACATATTTATCTCAATTGGTTCAATCATGAACCCTGCTCAGCTAATCAGTGGTGAACTTAAAATAATGGGATTATCTTGAAAGAGTTCATGACAAGTTATGACATGAATGATCATAATCATTCTTCATTCATTCTGAGAATAGAATAAGAAAAGCTTAATTATATTAGGCAGAATTGGGTTATCTAAATCCCAGACATGAGGACGATTTGGAGTCTCCTTTCCTAATGTAAGACAGGTTAACAATAGCTACCATTTTTCATGCACTTAATTATATGCCAGGCACTGTCCTAAGCACTTTAAATATGTGATTGCATTTAATGCTTACAGTAACTCTGAGGTAGGCACCATCACAATGCCCATTTTTCAAAGGAGGAAACTGAAGCCCAGAGGGGTTACTCAAATTATAACTGCTAAGTGGCAAAGCCAAGATTCCCCTGCCCTCTTATTTAAGTGAAAAGACAGATGAGGGGCCTCTGGATATTTCTCTGGATACTATTTCTATACTCATAAGCACTTTGATAAGTATTAAATTATTTTACGAATAAATGCAGGTTTAAATGACCTGTCATTCACAGCTATTTTGTAAAGTAGGCAAGTCACTTCTATTTTACAGTTGTTAAAATTCCAGGGAGATTAATGGCACATAATTAGGTAGCGGTAGAATCTGAGCTGATACCAAGATCTCCTGAAGGCCACTGTTAAAGTTCCCAGGGTACCTGGAAGGTTTACAAAAGATGGCAGTTAAAGCTGAGTAAAGTCAGCGTGAATGTAGAAGGCAGTGGTTAAATACAGAACAGGGGTCAAAGCCAAACTGAATAGCAGAAAAATGGTGGGTACACCAGAAAGTAAGTAGATCTTCCCTGCATTCTACTGCTCATTTTACTTTTCAAAGAGTTTGTTAATATTCGTGGCAAGTAATAAGATTTAAAGGATATATTTTGAATGAATAGACAATCTTATCATGCCTAAGCATCACAGATACTAATTTTTAAAAATCTAAGTACAAGAACACAAAGAAAATAGATAATAAAATGACAAGGAAATAGCAGTTGAGAGACTTTCAAGAAAAGGGGTAGTAATATGAAACGACTACATGCTTGAGATGGCAGGAAGTTTTCAGCCATTATCAAAGAGGAGGAATTCTCTAACTAAAGTGTAGCTGAATGCCAGGAACCCACAGTACATATGCAAGTTAGAATGTCAAAAGGAACAAGTACTGGAAAAACAATTCTGTATACTATAGTGGCAAACAGAACATTTAAAGAAATTATTTTTACTTTTTCCCCTTTCTCTCCATGCATTATTATACCAACCTAGCTGTGTGTCGTGATCATCTCCTGCTGTTCCATAGCAATATGCCATGATCTTAGATTGTTGGTTTGCTTAGATCTAGACCTTGCCACTTACGCTACTCCTGTCTTTGCTTTGTCCCAGTCTGCTACCATTTGCACCAGGTCTCTTACTTATAAAAGGTGTCCCACAAATATGTCACAATCAGTTGTTTAGTTTATCAGTCGTCATGGCAACTTTTAAGCAACTGGTTAACTTTTGGTTATCACAAGAGCAAGTCAAAGACAAGTTGAACTCAAGCCCACAAACCACAAATACCCCAAACCTCCCAAAAGATTTACATGAAGGGTAAAAGAAACTAGGTAGGCAGGAATGATATGAATGGAATCTGGAAATAATGGCCAAAGTAGCATCCATCTTCTCACATGTCCTTGAGTTTCTCCTAATTGTTAAGCTCCTGAAAGTTAGGGATTCTTTTTTTTGTTTTTTAAGATTTTATTTATTTATTTGAGAGAGAGAGAGAGAGAGAGCACGCGCGGGAGAGCATGAGCAGGGAAGAGGGGCAGAGGGAGAGGGAGAAGCAGACTCCCCGATGAGCAGGGAGCCTGATGCGATGCCGGGCTCGATTCCAGGACCCTGGGATCAGGACCTGAGCCAAAGGCAGCGGCTTAACCAACTGAGCCACCCAGGCGCCCCTGAAAGTTAGGGATTCTACTAAATTTTTTCCTTACGATTTTTATTTATTTATTTATTTATTTGACAGAGAGAGACACAGTGAGAGAATGAACACAAGCAGGGGGAGTGGGAGAGGGAGAAGCAGGCTTCCAGCCGAGCAGGGAGCCCGATGCGGGGCTCGATGCGGGGCTCGATGCGGGGCTCGATCCCAGGCCCCTGGGATCATGACCTGAGCGGAAGGCAGACGCTTAACGACTGAGCCACCCAGGCGCCCCAGGGATTCTACTACATCGTTTGACTCCTCAGAGTTAGGGACTCTGCATGTGGTCAACAGATGATTATTTACTAGCTATTGTGAACGATAGAATGTACTATATTTTTTTGAGCAGATGAGGGGGTTGCTGAGACCTTGAGATAAAAAGAGCTACATAAATTGATCGAAACAGAACTTGCTTTTCTAATCCACTTGGCAGAAAAATATAGGCAATTTAAAGGAAACTATCCAAAAACTCTTAAAAACTCTGTATTACAAGCAGCAAATACTAACATTGAAGAATAAAATGATTGGGCTTGGCAAGTTTAATATGGGACAACTAAGTTGAAGAGGCAGGTAAAACTATTTTTGCTAAATTTTGAAACCAATTTCATAACTATTAAATTTCCTATATTTCTCTGTATGTTTGATTAACACAATACAGTACCATCTTTATCCCAGGGTCATTCAAGTAGTGAGGATTAAATGAGTTAATGTTTCTAAAGCTCTTAGAATGGGGCCTAGCACACGGTAACTACTATGTAGGTGTTTGTTAAATGAAATAAATAATTCCAGGCCTCACACATGCTGAACGGCTATTGTTAGGGTCTCCGTAAATCCTAGAAAGAAAAAAAAAATTGGCTCTGCTACTTGTTTTTCAGGACTTTTCCCAATATCGTTGAAGCTAACAGTGCTTGTAAAATGGAGATGAGTGCTTGCCACTCGCTATATGAACTCTCATTAGATTCTCTTCATTTTTACACCATTGCTTTTGTTTTTTCATTTCTCTTTGGTCTAGTGCATCCAAATGGATTATCTGAAAAAGAAATCAGCCCCTCCGAAGACCAACAAACTCAAGGGATTTTAAGAAGTGGGCGGAGATCACAGAGATCAGAGCAAACGAACTGGCACTGAAAAAAACCTGGAAACCACAGGTTTCTATTTCCCATGAATATCGGCCCAAGCTCCTCTGAACGAGGATGCTCCAGTGTCTCCAAACTATTGGTTCTTTTCAAAATCGGGCGCCAGGGTCCCCGGGCCAATGCCAGAGAGGAAGGCGCCGGGCCCCCTGGAAACGCTCCTCCCCTTTGGAGGAGGTTTGCGGGGCGGGGCTCCCACGCATGCTCCGTGCCCGCGGGCTCATTGGCGCGACCGCCGGGCGCGTGCGCAGGACCCGATGGGTCCCCGGACGCGGAAGACCTGGCCCCGCGGAGGTTCCCGCTTCTGAGGCGTGGGAGGCGGAAGAGGCGGCAGGTTGTAGATTTTGGTCTTGGCCCCAAGGGGTTCCCCCGGGCCATTAGAACCCAAGAGAGGAAGAGGAGGCACCGCGGCGGCGGCTGAGGGGCCGAACCCCCCACCTGTCCCCCAGGCGGGGAGGGGGGGTAGGGAGGGGAGAAGCACCCCTCACAGGGCTGAGGAGCCTTCGGGACCGGGTCCCAGAGCATGGGGGGCTGGACCGGGTCCCCGAGCATGGGGAGCTGGAGCCGTCGAGGCCACCCGGCCGGGCCCTGCCCGACTGTCAGCTTTTCGGTGCTAGCGCTGCCCGGGCAGCCGCGGTGTCTGTAGCCCGGCCCCGCTTGAGGTCGTCGGCCGAAAGATAGCAACATGAGTTCCGCCGCTGCCTAGTTTCCTCCCCCTCCTCTTCTCCCTCCGTCCGCTTCCTTCTCTTCTCCTTCCTCTCTCCTCTTCCCCATACCTCGTCTTTTTCTTTCCCTCCCTCGTGTTCCTCTTTTCCCTCCACCCTGCCCTCCTCCTCCCCCTCGCTCCTCCTCCTCTCCCCCATCTTCTTCCTTTCCCGACCCTGGCCTCCTTTTACCCTCTGTTTTCCTGCTTTTCCATCGCTCCGCTTTTCCTGCCTCTTGCTCTTTTTCCCTCCATTCCTCTTTCCTCCATCCTCTTCCTTTATTCTGTCACCATCCACCAGCACCTCACCTCCCTCTCCACTACCACCTCCCCTTCCTCCTCCCCTCACTCACTGTCATCCTCCCTTCCTCATCCTCATCCTCCTTCCCTCCTCCTCCTCTCCTGCTTTTCTCCGCCCCTTAGCCCCCGCCCCCAAGCCTCCGCCCCTTAGCCCCCGCCCCCAGCTGCCAGTCCCCAGCAGCTCAGTCCTGCAGTGAGAGTCTTGGGAGTCCATAGCTAAGCACCAGGAGCTGAGCACTGTCCGCTGTGCCTGCCTGCGAGTCTCCGACATGGCTCAGGAGAAAATGGAGCTGGACTTTGAGCCTGATACATCTGATGGGGGTACCCTGAGGAGATCCAGCAGCGCTCCCCTGATCCATGGGCTCAGGTGAGGCGGACTGGGGACGATGAAGTACGGTCCGGGGTTCAGGGGCTCCTCGACCGCCTGCAAGCACTCTTCTTTCCCTAAAATGAGAGTTGGCGCTCGTGTGGGTTTTCTAAACTGAGGGGGTGGGGACTTGTTTGCTTGACACAGTGACTTGGGTCCCAAGGTGGAGTGAAAGTTTGACCCCAAACTCTGGGAACTGTGGGAAAAATGGGGCCCTCTTTACCTGGGGCTCTGTTGGCCCACTCTGAAAGGATCTACAAGAAGCTTCTGGCTCTTCTAACAGGTTGCTTGCCCTGCCTAATTTACACCACTGAATGTCAGACCGAAGCCCCTGGAACTAGACTTGCAACTTGACACCTGTCTCTAAGAGCTGCTATTTCTAAGCTTAGTTTAGGAACCCTGGCATTAACAGAGCATTTACTTTAATAAATCACAATTTATCTAATAACTTGTAATCAAGTGGCATGTTCATGGCACATTAAGCGATTCGGATTTGTCGTAATGTTTTCAGATCCTAAAACAGCCAGAAATGCATTCCAGTGAATAAAAAAAGGAAGGGTGTCATGTAGCTTAGGTCAGTGAAAATACAGGTTTTAGAAAACAATGGAAAGAATCAACCCTTGAATTTTAGTGGTAGAGTCTTGTATTTTCATGTGAATAAGTCACCAGAGGGTCTATTTTAAGGTAGAATCTTATGATAGTGAAGGTTAGGTTGGCAGACCTCCTGAGCCTATTACATTTCACTCTTCTAAGTAGACGATTCATCTTAGTAGAGAGCTAATTTGCGAGACCCTGTAGAAATGGAATTAGTCCAAAAAAGGGGATGGGAGTAGAATTAGCCAAAATCATTAATCAAGCACAGTGAAGGCAAAGAAATAGGTAATTCTTGTCTATCAAACTGATTATAATATCTGTATTTTGGGGGAAAATGGAATTAACTCATTTTCTTTTATTAAATTTTGAAACTGAGGGAATGATGGAGTGACTGCTTTCCTCATGCTGTCTTCAGCTCTACATTTATTTTTGATTCTGTAGGAATAAATCGGTCTTTTGGGGTTGTCTTTTTAAATCTGGTAAGCAAGCAATTGCTAGGGACTAGGGGCGATCCTGCTGACCTGCATTTAGACTGTTGTAGAAAAAACACACAGTTTTTTGAATCAGGAATCAAGTGATTACTTGCAGGGTAGTATGATGTGACAGAAGAAGGGCTGAGGAGACTAGACCTAGCCCCAATATTTCTCCCTAACTGTGATCATGAATGAATCACTTAGCTTTTCTGAGGGTCTGTTTTCTCATTTGAAACTTAGGAGAGCCGAATTAGGTGATCTCGGTGGTCCCCTGAAGCCCAATTCAGTTCAGTCCTGAAAATCTTTGACTTCTTATCATGGGCATGGCACTCTGCTAGGCACTGCAGGGATGTTATACAAAGAGCATCAAAAGGCCTTGACCACGGAGTTTAATAAGACACACACACTTTTCTGTAATAAAAGGTAAAGTCGGTGTCTCAAACATCTCCTTTCCCATTGTGCTCTTTGGACTCAAAGGAGGGAATGATTGCATTCAGTTTGTGGATTGAAGAGAGGCCTCACGGAGCATATTGCATCGAAATGGGGGCTCAAGGAGAGGGAGGATTTGGGCTGGTGGTGGTGGGAGGGAGGACACTAGAGGCAGAAGAGGCAACAGGAGCAAAAGTCCAGGCATGTTTATTTAGTTGCACAGCAGGTTCACGGGCAGAACACGTATTTAGGGCAATAGTGGGAGATGTGCTGTAGAACAGGGCTTCCGAGCCCTTCTCACCATCATGGCACACACAGAAAGCAGTAATATGTTTAGGTCCTCTGGGGTAAACAGATGAGGCTGCTCATGTCTGGTGGGAACCGGTTTGGGGGCGTGAGCTCTGACCAGAAGCAGCTGGAGGCAACCAGTCTGGAGCTCCGCCCCATACCTCTCCTAGCCGCCCCCCAACCACTGAGGAGATCAGTATCTGGGCAAACCTGTGATCCACAGCACACCACCACGGAAGCTCTGAAGAGGTCGGTGAAGAGTTTATCCATTGTACGAAATGAGGAGCCATGGAAGATTTCATTGTTGACTAGAGAGTTGACGGATATCTTAATGAGAAGACATTAACAATTTTATTTTTATTTTTTTAGTGACCTTTCACAGGTTTTTCAACCTTATACCTTTAGAACTCGGAGGAATAGTACAACGATTATGAGCCGTCATAGCCTGGTAAGTATAGAAGTAAGTATTTTTAGTGGCATGGATTGGGGAAAACACTTTCAAACGTAGTTACTCGTTCTTAAGATGATGTGCTGTGCACCATTGTTCACAAAAGAAAAAAAAACATTTTACCTCCCTTGCTCACGCTGTGGCCATTTTCAGCTTTTGGTGCCAAAAAAGAGATCTGGTTAAAGTTTTTTCCTGGCTGTGGGACTTCGTATTTTTAAAAACTATTCATTGTTTTTTTGTCACTACTTGCATCATGGTTATGAGGTAAGTCAGGATTAACTTCTAAATATAGCTGAGAAAAGTGGTCTTTATTTGTCCTAGGAAGCAAAAATCATTTAGACTGTAGCAGAGTATTTATTTCTGACACATATCTGTTGGACAACGTTATTTATCCAAAGTAAGATCTCCTTTATAATGCTTGTATTTATATTCCCGGTAGAGTCGCTAATAGTGACTGTTTTGTACAGCCAGAACTGTCAGGGATCACCTTATTAGTTGGTCGCATTGGGAGAAATTATGATGAGGTTTTTTATATAGTAGCACTTCACATGCGGGGCCCACTTATCCAGTAGCTGCAGCGCTCTGGAAGATATCTGAGATGTAAGCAAACAGACCTCTGAATGGCTGTGCTTGATTTCCATAGTCTGTGCACAAAGGTTCATCAGTTTATTTATAGGGAACCTCTCTGACCTCTGAATCATCTAAAATTTATGCACAATTATAATAAGCTTCCAACTCGGTAGTGTGGAGAAGCAGCAAATCAGAAGAGGTACATTCGGGTTTAAGGTATACTAATAGCTGCTAGCAAGGGAGGAGAGGGAAAAACTGAAAAGCAGAAAGAGGCTTTTAAAAAATTAGTCCGTGGCTTAGTACAAGGGCTAAGAGCCCGTTAATAGACCCTGAGGGTCTCGCTGGCATAGAACTGTAAAATACTGGATGTTCTTAAAGATACCTGGGTCATTAACCTTTTCTTAAATTATAGTAGTACCTATGCTTGTATGGTATTCTACATGTTACAGAGTCCTTTCATACTTGTCATTCTCATAGCAACCCATGTGAAGTAGGCAGGACAAAAGATGTTTTTCCCAGTTAAAAGAGGCAGCAGCTAAGACTCAGCTGATAGAAGCGACTTGCTTAGAATCACATAATTGGTAAGCGGCAGGGCTGGGATTAGAATAGAGATATGCCAGTGCCATTCTCTTTGGTAAAATCCGTTTAAGAAAGTGGGGAGCGGGGGGAATACAACACTTTCAAGAAAGATTTCCAGCCGAAGTGGCTAAAAATACTTAAAGGGGGAAATATTTGCTATCTGGAGTTTTGATTCACGTCACCTTCCCTGAGGATACTGGAAAGTAGAATTTAATTTTGCTGTGTATATGAAAAATGTTTCCACTTGTTACACAGCTATGTTCCTGATATCAGTAGTAGAGCAAAGAAGGGAAGATGAATTTGCCTCTTTACACTTGACTTTTGCTCTTTTCTAAGATGCGAAGATTCTTGTCCACTCTGTCTAGGCTCATCTCTCCCTACCCCCTGACAAATACCTTTTTCTCCGGCTGCACTAAATACCTAGTTTGCTGGAGGAGCCATGTTGATTCACTGCTCTTTGTTGATCCTTATGTTGTCTTCCCCTCCATCCCCTTCTCTTGATTCCTGGTTCGGGAAGCCTTCTGCAGCACCCTTTGGGTACTTCTGTCGCCACTGATTACACCTTATCTGTTATATCACAGTGTCCCCTATAAATCTTTTTTTTTTAAAGATTTTATTTATTTGATAGAGCACGCGCGAGAGAGCACAAGAGGAGGGGGAGCTACAGAGAGAGGGAGAAGCAGGCTCCCCGCTGAGCAGGGGGCCCGATGTGGGGCTCGATCCCAGGACTCTGGATCATGACCTGAGCCAAAGGCAGACGCTTAACCCACTAAGCACCCAGGCGCCCCCTCTATAAATCTTAATACACTTCCCTGTGTCTGCTGCCAAAAGCAAGGTGAGGAATGAAATAGAAAGGAGGGGCCTGGCACAAGAAGACGTGCAGAGGTCGTTTCTTCATAATTTGACAACAGATTAGGTGTAAATGCGGGGTATAGGAGGACTCCAGGGGACTGAACTTTTATTTCTTAGTGACCAGGGGAAAAGTGTTGCCTGTATTACGAGTAGGGAAATTTCAAGGAATTGGTCATTTGAAGGGCCAGCAGAGATATTCTTCCGAGCATTTTGGGTTCGAGGTGCTGCTTGTTTCGTGCTGTTCTCCAAAGCAATATTCTAGTTTGGAAAAAAAAATTTGCAAGCTTCCTACACCTTTCACTTTTGGCAGATGACCCTTCTCTGTTCACAGAGCATGCAGACGGCCATCTTGTATACGTGTCAGCTTTCTTCTGAAAACGTCTTTACCTCCACATGTGGTGCTTTGTCCTAATGATTCCTAGGTTTTCTGAGTCTCCTGTCACTTTGCTCGGTCTGTTGTCTCCCCTCTAGTCCCTTCCTCCCTGGCTTTTTTGCTCCCACTTTCTTCTGACCCACATACCTAATATCTGGAACACAGACTTGTCTTTTTTCATTGGTCTCTCTTTTCCCTGTTTTCCTTCCACCCCCCTGAGCTTTCACAGAACTTAATCCACACCATACTGCCTCCAATTCCTTGTCTCCTTGTTTCTTGGCATCTACTCAGCCTGTTTGTGGTCTCACTACCTCTATCACCACGCTATTAAAAAACTGTTCTCAGGGGCGCCTGGGTGGCTCAGTCAGTGAAACCTCTGCCTTCGGCTCAGGGTCATGATCCTAGGGTCCTGGAATGGAGCCCCACGTCAGGCTTCCTGCTCAGTGAAGAGCCTGTTTCTCTGTCTCCCTCTGCCCACCCACTACTCGTGCTCTCTGTCTCTCTCTCTCACTCACTCGCTTGCTCTTATCTCAAATAAATAAAATCTTTAAAAAAAAAAAAAACAACCAAACTGTTCTTGGAGGGGCACCTGTGGCTCAGTCGGTTAAGTGTCTGACTCTTGATTTCGGCTCAGGTCATGATGTTGGGGTCCTGGGATCGAGCCCCGCTTAGGCTCTGTGCTCAGTGCAGAGCTGGCTTCTCCCTCTCCCTCTGCTCCTCCTCCTGCTCGCGTGCTCTCTCTCTCTCTCAAATAAATAAATAAAATCTTTAAAAAAACCTGTTCTGTAAAAGTCACCAGTGCCCACTTGATGCCCGTGGCAGGGGCCTCTTTTCTTACCCCACTTGAGCTCTTTGCTTCACTTAACACCACTAACCAGCACCCTCCTTGACGTGCTTGGCTTTTTTTTCTCAGCCTGTACATTAACACTTGTTTCCAGTACTAGACACAGCATTGTTCTTCCCTGTGCCCCTTTGGGGTCTTCTTTCCAGTTCTGCCTACATTGACAAGCTGTACATCATATACATGCAGCATCTAAATTTCTGACTTTCTTTGCCATCAGCTTTTTGCAATCTTTGGCTTTCCTGATGATTTCACGGCCTCTAGGGTTTCTTTTGTTCTCTGATGGACACATCCATGCTCTCTTCCATGGTATCCTGTTAGTCTTTCCTGCCTTATTTACTTGCCTAGTAGCTTAGTGTTTTTCTTTCTTTTTTTAAAAAAAGATTTATTTATTTACTTGAGAGAGCGAGCGAGAGAGAGCGTGCACCATTGGGGGTAGGGGGCCAAGGCAGAGGCGGAGAGAGAATCACAAGCAGACTCCCGGCTAAGCACGGAGCCTGACTTGGGGCTCGGTCCCAGGATCCCAAGATCGTGACCTGAGCCGAAACCAAGAGTTGGCTGCTTAACTGACTGCGCCACCCAGGCGCCCCGCTTAGTGTTTTTCGAATGACCTTTATTAAGAGTTTACCAGTAAACATATATTAGTTTTCTAGTAGAAAAAAAAAACTTTAAGAGGATTTTATTCGTAAAGCTTTTCTGTTTTCAGAGCCTAGGAGAGGAAAAAGTAAAAGGAAGGGGTGGGTACTGAAGAGATGTTCTTTGAGGTAAAAATCATATTTTAGTGTATAACTTTAAAAAATTTCACCCGGATTAGCTTTTGCCTAAAAAACTTGGAGCAGTTTATTACCATTTTATACTACTCACTGCATGAGGATTTTTAGACATTTTAATAGGATAGGGCCTCTTGTAACAAGATCGTTGTCTTACTTGGTTTTACAGCACTACAGATTTATTTGCACTTAATTAGGGAATAAGTAGCAGTTGTTTACATTATGGCTGTTAGAACCCTGTAAGAGCTGTTGAGATGAATTGTACCTTTCATCTTGTGATCAGATTGTGATTATTTTGAGGGAACATAATTTGCCCCCCCAAATCATTTTAACTTTGTGTTGTCAAAAAATGATCTAAGGGAAAGCAGCAGTTATCTGAAAAATACACATTGCCTTCCACATTGATTTTTCTTAACTAGTAAGTAGGGTTTGCGGTGATAGTGGTAGTGGCCAAATTTTATAATTGATTTAGATCACACAAGCAAAATCTTCTTATTGCAGTTTTAAAGTGTTTTCGATCAACCCTAATCATAGACAGAATATTATACTGGGCTTGTGAGCCTGTCTTCCTCCATTGGTGCATTGGTGTTAAAATGACTAAAATCAGTTTTTTTCTTTCCCTTCTTACCTAGTTCCTTATTTTAGATAAGTGGGGTAATGGATATTTCCAAGGCCTGGAATCTTTTTTTTTTTTACGTAAATGTACACAGCCCTGCATTCATTTGGGAAAAGTGTTAAAGTCAGTGCCTGTCTAGCGACAGATGGTGCTTTGAGGTTGGACACCTGGTGTACTTTCCAAAGACTGAATGTCCTGCCTCTAGTGCGTTAATGTTCAGTGATCTAAAGAGCTACATCTCTGAGAAGAATATGAAATCTTATCTGGGAGGAGGTTGGACACTGGGACTGACAGCAGACTGCTGCTTTGTGATTCAGAAAATAGTAAATGTTTACTTTTCCTTTCTAGTTGCTGTCATCCTCGCCTAACCGTGTTCCTAGCAGCAGACTGCATCAGATCAAAAGGGTAAATTTTACTTCCTAGCTCAGAGCTACAATTGTCTGAATTGTCCACTTTGCTTTTATTTTCATTTTGAAGATTTATCCATTAAACATGAGTCAGGCTGCCACTCTGGGTAGCCACAGACAGCTGGAAATTCTTCCGAGTGTGCAGGTAAAACACAGATGTGGCAGGGGTGACAGTCTTAGAATGTTCTGCTTGCGCTGTGATGATGTCAAAGAAGGCAGAAAAGTCTTAAAATTTTCTTCGAAGTAGAGAACCGTGTGGATGTGGATACTGTGTTTTCAGCACATGTTTGTCTTTGCAGGAGGAGGGCATGGATATGATGAACAGGGAAACTGCACATGAACGGTTAGTGCTTCATAAGAACAGGGCCTAGCCGGTTGTATGTCTTGTTCCTGAGCACTGATGGCCTTTCATTTCTGTTTGTTTTAGGGAAGTGCAGACAGCAATGCAGATAAGCCAATCATGGGATGAGAGCTTGAGCCTGGTAAAGTTAATCCCATGTTTACTTGTTTTTTTATTTTCTGGAAACCTTTATGTTGTCATAGGCTTCATTAATTTTTTCATATCCTTTTGTTCACCCGTTTCCAAATTTGTATTCGTTTTTGATCTCTGCTTTCCCACCAGAACATGAGATTGCAACTTTTTAGAGTCTGTACATTTCTATTCTAAAAATGTAGGCATGCTTGAGTAGTAAAGAGCTGTGATGTGCTGGATTGTGAATTATGAGGAAATAACACTTTATGTTTACAGAGTGACAGCGATTTTGAGAAGCCGGAGAAACTATATTCTCCAAAAAGGATTGACTTCACTCCAGTTTCTCCGGCACCATCACCCACCAGAGGATTTGGAAAGGTAGGCTCATTGACAAGATGTTAACTCTCTTTCACACACTGAGCTCTTTACTCTCTAAAACACACACACACACACACACACACACACAGCCTCATTTGTGAAGAATCCGATGACTAGAAGGAAAATTAATGTAAGTCAGTGATAGTAACTTGAAAAAACGGTCTATCAATATATGTATGTATTCTCTCGTGTGTGTGTGTGTGTGTGTGTGTGCGCGCGCGTATATATAGATATACACAGACAGCTAAGCAATTCTAAGGGTGTTTTTTCTATTATCTTGAGAACCTTTTGAAAGCTGGAGCACTAGACTATGTTAATATTAAATATGTTTTTTCTAGCAATGTTTTTCACCATCCTTACAAATGTTTGTGAGCAGCAGCGGGCTGCCACCAAGTCCCGTTCCTGGTCCAAGACGCTTTACCAGGTAAGTGAACCTGCCTTTCAAAAATTTCTCTCTCCTGATGAACTTTTTTCCCAAGGTTTTCTTACGGAAATTTTCAAACAGACAACAAAATTGAACACAATGAGCATCCATATAATACCTATCACCTATGTTCTACCAGTGACATTTTCCCAGATACACACACACACACACAGACACACAATATATCCTTTGTAAGGATAAGGGAAAAAATGTAAGATTGTAGACCAGTCAAATCTAAATACCTTTTTAATAAGGTTTATCTTAGAAAAAAAAAACAAAACTGTTCTAGATATCTTGTCTCATCAAATGATTTTTTAAAATAGCTTAAAACGCCGTGTTGTTTCAGTTTGCCATGGGCCAGCTAAGATCATGTTTTGGCATTTCAGTTCCTCAGCTTACAGCAGAGGCATTTTCCATTGTTTTCTAGATGACTGTCAGTTTTATTGATTTATTTGGTGGGCTATAACGTTTATCTTGCATCTTAGAAGCACTTCACATCCTCCTGTTTGTTTATTCTTTGAAGCAGGAGGAGTCAGAGTCCAGTCAAGTGCATCAGGCCCAGTGTTCTTGGTCCTCTGAAAAGAAAAGGTAAGCATCACACTTCTGATACTAAACCTAGTTGAGCTTGAATGACAAATTAGAATTTGTCTGAAATTAGCTCAAGGCACGACTCCTTTTTTCTAAAGAAATGTGAAATATTCTTCCCAATATATGCTTTACGGATTCTAAGTTTTGTAAATTAGTTATCTGATACTATGTTTTTTGCACTTCATAACTGAATCTTATTCATATATTCATATTACCAATATATATTCCAAAAATTTTGCCTCTCAGTGATCTGAATAGAAAACAGATGCAAGTTAATACGTTGCAGAAGTATGTGCTTATGTCCTAGTAAATAGGTCTCTAAACATGCTGCATATTCAGATATAAGCCACCACCAAATTATGCCTCACAGAGAGAGACTGCCTCATATTCGAACCCATAGGGTTTTTGATATGATGGGGGTGCTCTTAATTACCTTATTTTGAATCACAGGGCAGTAAACTAAAATGATCTCACTCGGTGCTAGTTTCAGATGCCTGTGAGGGCCCCTGATAGAGTCTATTTTAAAAAAGCACAGAAAATTAACATAGGTTGAGTCATTCATTATTCCTGGGGCTATACCCATATGATTGCAAGTGTTGGATACCATAATTTTGAAAAAGCAGTTCAGCAAGTGGTTTCTTTGTGCAGATCACCTTTGGGGCCAGGAAAACAGTCCCTCTCCTAATACTAGGTAAACAGGTATTTGCAGCTTTGGTGGAAGCTTTCCACTGATATAACATCATGCACAGATTCAAAAAGTATGATATTTCAGATAACTTAAAGATGGTGTGCTCTGGAAAACAGGTTTTGATATGGTGATGATGTTTGTATTTAGTGAATAAATTTTATTTTATAACCTAGTAGTCTTTTACCTTAATGCTGCAAGGAATTATTTACAACCCTAAGAACCTTCTCAGGAGCTGTTAGGTGAAAATAACACTTGGAAATTAAAGCCATTATTATTATTGTTATTATTAATTTTTGATATATTGCAGGAAGTTGGTGGAATTAGTACGGTTGTTTAGTTTCAAAGCTATTCCAAAATATACCAGTAGATGGAGGAATTCTTTGCTGAAAAGGGCTAAAGTCTTTTGCTAATGAGGGGTTGTTGAAAGCCAGGCAGTAGCTTTTTTAAAAGTTCCATATTAAAGCATGGCAAAAGCAAATAAAAATATAACCTTTCCTGAGTTAGTAATTTTCAAAATAGCTCCAGAAGAAAGATAATATGAATTAATTGATAATAGGAAAAAAATGAATGTTGCATTTGTTGTTGCTTGATCTTTTTCCATCAGAAGAATCTTGTACAGCTGTAAATTCACAGTTACTAATTTCCCATTGGAGCATATAGTTAGGCCCAAGAATTAAATTTTATTTAATATTCCATTTTAAAGCTCAGATAAGGAGCCTCAAAACTAAGGTATTTGTGTGTTTTAAATCATAGCTTATTTGGAAAGGGGCTTTTTCTGTCTTAGCAGAGGGTTTTTAGTCTTTGCACTCCTGGTGGCAAAATGTTATTATTCCGATTGATGCAAAGTTTTTCTGCTACCTTACAGATGTTCTGAGACAGTTTATAAGATTGAGGTAGCCAGTACAACACCAATTTCATGAATGGATTAATAATTGCTTTCAGTTACAGATGGGCATTCAAAGTTACTTTTTATTTTTTTAATTTTTTTTGGAACGATTTTATTTATTTGAGAGAATGAGAGAGAGCATGAGAGGGGGGAGGGTCAGAGGGAGAAGCAGACTCCCTGCTGAGCAGGGAGCCCGATGTGGGACT